CGAACAAAAAAAAGAATTTTGATAATCCGTTCCGTCCGTCTTTACTCGTATATAACGGAGTTATGCCCCAACATACATAAAAAGTATAAACATCCAAATTGATAACCTCCTCCTTTTTGAATCCGGTTAAAAACTATAGCAATTTTTTCCTTGACTATGCGTAGACACAGCTACCCTCAAGCCACAGACATTTTATACAAGTATAACGTACCTATTAAACAGTGCGTCACATTTAATAATCTTCTGTTCATTTTGTCGCCGAAAGGGGATCCGATTCTATCACGCACACTTTCCCTCAGTTAGTATAAATTATTAATATTAAATAACCGAACTACACACAGCTACTTATATGTTTATTTTATAAACAGGATAATGCTAAGTCAATGTATTTAGAAAAATATTTTCCCACGGAAACTTCAAAGATCCACAGTTGCTATTACGCGAGGGAATAAAATACTAACCAGAGTTGACTTTTATCACACAATCAAGTTATCAGTTCTAGTGACCTCAAGTATAAGACAGACAAAAGGAGTATATTATTGTTTTCATAAAATAAATGTAGCACGAGTAAATTTATTTCGAGTCGAGATCCTTTCAGGCGTACAAAAAATGTTCCTTACAGTCTATAAATAAATAATGGTAGTTAATTTTAATGGTTATCACGATACATTTAATTGTGAGTAAAGTTATTTTGCACCAAGTATGTTTCAATTTCATAACGTCATAAGTTAATGCGTTACAATAAATGAGCTCGCTCATAAATGTAATTAACGGTGGGCGGGATGAGTACAATAACCATGTTGTATGAAATAAAAGATTTATGAGCTCGTCATATAGGCATGAGCTCATCGCCATAAGTGCAAAAAAAGGCATCGCTTTATTATGTCACGACTGGTGTTTCGTACGTTACACGCAGCTTATAAATTATTTGCCAAGATGAGCATTTCGTTTAATAAGTTCTATATAGTTGCATAATGTACGTTTATTGTAGCGACATATTTGTGGAACCAATAGAAACAGCAGCTGCGTAACGAGAGAAATAATATGTCCTAAGAATAGGAAAAAAAAATTTGTGATTAATTGATAAGAATTGTATTTTTTTTAGTTTTAAAAGGCACAAAATACAGATTTAATTATTGAAATCGAGTGAGCTTAAACGTAACACAAAACCAAGAATATTCTTTCGTATCGTATCGTTATTTAATTATATAGAAGTACTAATAAAACTTTAAATGCAAACAAGATATAAAACAAAATGAGTTTAAAATAAAAATACAAACACGAAATTGAATATCTACCTGTGGCATTGTTTCTATGTTGAGTTGAAAATGATGATCCGAAGTGTATTTAGCAAAATGACGATATAAGGGGATTTTGGTCCAAGAGGCACTTAAGAGATCTCGAAGTATGATGAATGATGTTGCAAAGCGTAGCGTTGGTTACGCGGCAGCGGTGTGGAACACTGCGCACGCCAAGACCTCCGCCGCCCGCTCATAATGATTGATAGTACTTTATGTTACCTCAAATTAGCTCACGATATTATTAGCTCACAATACTATTCATATTAATTGTCAATCAATATGTTTGCAATTTCAACAGCGCTAATGTTTAAACAGCTATTGTTCCGTTTCGGAGCGGACAAGATGTGGTGTTAATTATGTAGTACCAGTAATATGTAGATACAATGTCTTAATAATAGCAGTTCCTGGATCTCTCTTGTTACAGGCGTAGAGTGGCACACCGTGTGGTTTTAGTCGGTCCGAGTCCGAACACGCCACCCTGCCGCAATCACCGGTGGGTGAAGGCCCGAGGGGGTTTGTGTCAAGTTATCCTTCTCTTTGCAGTGCTGTTGTCTTGCGTAGTTTATTCCCTCAGTCGGCTCTTACGAGAACCACGGGATTAATAGGGGTGGTGAAACTCCGTATTCTTAATGCGTCACCACACTAATAAAGCTCTAGGATAACTCGGTATGTCTCTTATAATCTAATCATTGAATGTTTCAGGTTTTACTTATAACGACCTATTATAAGATAGTTAACTCTTTAAGTTATGTCTTTCAAAGAAATAATATCTCATAACTAAAAATTAGGTTTTATAACCTAATTTTTAGTTATTTAGTAATTAACTGAATGTGCGTTTTAACGGAATACTAACTGAAGCTACGGAGCAACGTTTTAAATTGATCGTGTACTAAAAACTAAGGCTAATAATTTTTTAGCCGTTAACTTTAGGACAATGTAGTAATACTATGCGCAAAGATAAAGAAAGTATAAATAATTTTTTGACGCTCAGTACGTCTTCAAAAGTTTGGTAATAAAGCCATTTCGGATCATTGCCTACGTATTCTTTGAACACTAAATGTATAAGAAAATAGAAATAACAGTTAAAAATACAATCCTTCGATGAGATACTCGTTGTATCATGCAAAAAAAATCATGTTAACGTCACAAACACTGCAAAAAATCTTTAAAAATTTGTAGATAGTGTTATTGCAAAGATAATAAGAGACAACATAAGAGCGCCTGGATTCAAAACAGTTTAGTGTAAAAGTACTTATTTAGTCGGAATACCTGCCTGTTAAATTGTTATATAATTCAGATATATTTATAATAACAATCACAAAATACTTGTATACAGGCAGAAGGACGCCGGATAGAAACGACAAAGCATAAACGTCTACAAAAAGCTCACACCCATAAATATAGAAAACAATAAGGAAAATGTCATTCGTCATGCTTATATAAATTAGATAAAGAGGTTAGTTCAAGAGATGTTAGTAGGTATAGGCTCGAAAGGTCTCGATTTGAGGGGAACGGGATCCGTTTGACAAAACCCGAATGATTGACATAAAACGAAACGCACCTGTAACCTTGTGACCTCGGCCAACTTTATATGTGACTTTATATTATCCTTCCCCAAAATTTTTAAAGTACGGGAAAGGGGCCTTAAGATATTAATTTTCTTAGAAAGAAGTTTGTAAAAATATAATAAATATTTCTTTCAAATATTAGAATAAAATTGGTTTAAGTAATGAGAATCAGATTTTTATTCGCCTATAATACTGTCATTTAATAAAAGAAGAAAAAGGGAGAAAGTATAAACCTAAGTCTTAATATAATACGCGTCTACGCATGATATTATTAAAATTGATGGCTTTATTAAAACGGCCGCACATCAAGATATGTAAACTATGCCACACTATCCATATGAATGGGCGTGAGCTGCGGTAAGGAATATGACGGCAGAACCCCATATTCGCAACCGACAGCGGTCGACGTCGAGCGACGAGGGCGAAGCATATTAGGGCCTTACATTCATCCAACCCGTCTCGGTTACATATCTTTATCAAAGACGTTATTAAACGTACAGCGGTGAATCGATTTGACTAAATTGCCCTAGAAACAACGAACCGTCATACAAATTATAGGTATGTCTTCATTCTAAATAGATAACACAAAATGATGTTACAATTTCTTTGTCGTCTGAGTCAGCAGTCAGAGAAATGATTCATTATGGAATACGTACCATTACCAAATATTGATTTTCAAACCATCTAGAAAAATATAATGTTTCAAATAGTTAACTCGTCGTCGTGCAGTCTTTTTAACCGACTTTAAAAACACAAAATAGAAGGTTCTTAATTCGACTGTTTTATTTGTCTGTTTATTATTATTTGTAATTATTTTTTAATTTTTACTGCTCTTTCTTAGTATTGTTTGAAATCGTTGTTTTTTTCAACGTTTTTTTTTAAATGATTATCTTTTGAAGTTTCTTTCATCTACGACATTGATAGCAATCGAAAAATTAAAAATAAATTAAATACATACCATCCGCTTTTAAAGTTTTTGAACTGCAATTTAAAGTAAGTTAAATAAGCCGGAAAACAGAGAGGTCAAGGGCAAGTGGGACGATTCAGATACACCCCTGAACCGAGTATAACAAATGGCGGAGCAAACCACTCAACTAAGTCAGAGATCACTGCACAAGAACAGCTCAAAACGATGACCACCGTTAACTACACCTGAAAATGCTCTTGATATACAATTACTTTATTTCATTATTAGAATACGCAATTACTGAAGTAACGCTTTAGTGTGGTTGCTGATACGGGTATCAAAATTTAACTCACTAAATATTTTGTGTAATACTTAACTTTCAGGTTTGGGCAATAAAATATAATGGGAAATTGAAAATGCACTATAAATACATGATGAATTTTGGGACATGCAGAGGTATATTGAATATCAAATTATGTCAACCGTGTATTATAAACGACACCACTGAACCACACCACTGGAGTGTCGTTTACATTTTTTTTGTTAACGACGCCACTGCTGACTAGTGATGTACTCGTATAGCGTCAAATAAAACAATTCTTTACGTGTTAATTTTTAATGATAATGTTGAAATTGGTCGAGTTCACAGGGATTCGTAAAACAACAATTGCATCCATTACAAACAAAAAACAACTAAATGTATTTTTAAAACTTGAGCCGATAATTACACAATAAGTATTCATTTTTTCACCGCATCTATGTTTCACTTCATCTGCCGTATGTATCGTTAACAAAAAAAATGGGTTATATATGCCGTATAATATAACTATAAACCGGTTTTTATCTCGATACGTGTATATTAAAATGATAATACTCGCATATTTTATATATCTATATTACAATGGTAGTCACCATTGTAAATGTAGAAGGACCGAAGTCGCGATGTTTCTACAAAATAAAGAAAGAACTTTTCGAATCGAAATGATCGCTTTCGTCGCGCCGCATGCAAGGAATCTAATACTCAAACATATCAATTTCTATGGCTGAGATTCCGAATTAATGATTAGTCAGTAATTTAAAATATTTAATGATCCTGTGTTTAAAATAACATATCACGAATGTTCGAATCGACAGTTTAAAATATTTCATTGAATTGCAATATCCTGTAAACAATACTAGAAGTATTTAAATATTAAAAATAAGCGAAGTTACATCAATAACAGAATGGTCCGATATGAAAATAATAACAGGTTGAGCTTAAAAAGATTGTTTATGGTAGACGTGACAGGTAATGGGCAAACGCATTAAGCTACCTACGAAGTTGAGCGGCGGAACGAGTGAAATAAAATGCACTAATGATTGCTGGAACTCTTCACCGGTAACGACCCTTCTCTATTAATCTTAACTAATATTATAAACGCAAAAGTGAGATTTTTTTTGCTACGCTTCCATGTCTGAACTACTGTGTCAACCTACTCGATTTTCATGAAATTCAAAGATGATTAAAGAAAATGCACCAAGGGTACTTTATCCAGAATAAAATAATGTTCCCAAGAGATAGCTAAAAAACTGACAACCTACATTTACGTGAACGGAGTGAAGTATATTTTTTTTACTGAAATATACACAAGTAAAAAAAACTTATTAAAATTAACGCGGAATATATTTAAATTGCAACTCTCAATAACTTTAAAATCATGTTTTTTAGAATGACACGAATGGCCGGAAATTGTGCCACCAATTTTAATAATAGCTTTTGTGTACGGGATTACAATGATTACAAATAACTAACACAAACAAATGGACTTTAATATTTTATTTATTGTGTAATATTTACTTACAAAAAATGTTTGATCGCTTTATGTCGTGCGCTCAAAAATCACTGATATTGTGCGTTGTGCACATATTTACTTATATTGTATTTACCGTTGCAGGCATAGGCGAGAAAAATGGTGATAACTATGTAAGTATGTATTAAAATCCTGTTAATAATAATGTTTAACAGTAAACTCCTGTAGACTCTTTTAGTCTTACTGTTCCTAATTTGTTCAAGATCTCATTTCAAGTTCAAAAGTATTTGGAAATTAGAAATTCGGCTACAAATAAAGATGTTTTCTATAGGTTCAACTAACATTTATTTATACCGAAAATATTTTATTCAATCGTAAATACATAGTCATACAAAATCAGTTGTACCTCTAAATAGAGACAACAATGGCTTCTTGAACTGAATACAACAGGTCCCTTTTATGTCTTTCATATCTATTTCCGTTTAAGAGGCGTCACAAGAGATGCCTAATTGCGATTAGGTCCCCAATTGTAGAAAAACATGAGCTCATACATTATTATATAAATAAAAAATATTTCAAATATATTATTAGACAGATATATGAGATCAAATAATGTATTTACACTATAAATACATTGCATGAGGCGGACTTAATGCCGTATTTATTTTCTTCCAGCTTTGGGTTATGCAGAGTTGTGTAAATTTCGAACAAATTAGACCACAAATTAAATTAACATGATTATACATGCTTAAACTTCGAAAAATATTTAAACAAAATTATGTTCACTGTGCGAATCTCAAAGCCATTAGCAGATCGGCACGTTTACTCGTTCACCATAATATCACACGCTCCCGTATTTACCGGTCGCTCCCCACTGTCCCCAAACCAAGCGGCCGTCTGCAAACCTATATATTACTTTTCTTGACAGGCCATGAACGTGTTAAGCTAAAAATTATGTTGCCCGAGAATAGTAAGGCAGGTGAATAGTAGTTCACACAAATTTAAAAAGAACTGACTTATTCGGTCTTATTTCTGGTGGGGGATATGTGTGAATTAGTAAAAACATCACAAATATAAGATTAAATAATGTTTATTCATTTATTGTAGGGTCCATACATGATAGATTGGGAGACGTTTGAAACGTGTAAAGGCCCCAAAAAGGACAACTGCGGCCAGTTTGAAGTCACAAACGTACAAAATATGTCCGACATTATATTCCTCCTGGATTTCCACAAAGATTGTCCAACAACTATGGTACTTCATAATACATGTTTTAAAATTAAAAACACAAAAATTAATATTTAATCATATGGCTTTTTCTTAACACAGGGAAAAATAGTCGTTAGTACTAGAAGCAAGAACGTTACAAAAAGGCTGTGGAATTACGTACTAAATAGGCCATGTGAACATTTCGTTTTGGGTCCCATCCTGATTAGTTCATTTAATCTAACTAAGGAGTGTAAGATTTATAAGGTAAGTTTTTCATATCTAATAACATTACTAATGTAGTTACCGCTACTATGACTGGAAAAAAAGGTCCCTTCTTTTTACATATCAAAATTTTCATAACTGTTTATTATGACAGAAAACAATCTAACTTTTGAATTACCATTAACAGGGTAAATATGAAATACATTTAGACTTAGAAGCAAAAACTAAGGTATTTTTGGGTGAAAACTTTTTCTACGGCAATTACACCTTCCTGATCACGTCTTATAATAAGGTAAACAACTTTTTCTGTTACAAAACTAACATGGCTGTAAAAAAAATTGCTTAAATTAAATATTCCTTCAGTGAGTCAATAGTTTCATTCTGAGCAACCTCAATCTCTTTATATATATTTACAGATTAAGAGCTGTATCGTTATTTACGACAGTAACATTAGCCCCAGTTCGATAGCCGATATTTTATAATGCCAATTACGAATTCATAACATTTGTTCAGATAATTGTCCTAAGTGAGCAATGATGTAAAAAATTATTTGTCATTGATTTTATGAAATCAAAAGCGGCTAAAATACGATTCTTTTCAGTCAATAGTACCGCCAGTGACTGGACATTATTAGTGGACACGTATGAAAACCATTACAGAATACCGGAGGATATCTGTGCCTCGTCGTCCAGACCAGATATATTTCTTTATGCAATGTTAATCAAGCGTGTAGTACTAGTAGAACTCACGGTGCCGTGGGAAACGAACATCCCTAAAAACCACGCTTTAAAAAGAAACAAGTACTTCGACTTAACCAACGAAATAAATAAAAATTGTTATTTCATTGCATTGTACGCCGTGGAATTGGTTGCCAGGGGTATACAAGCTAAATCTCTCTATAACCAGTTTAGAGACCTTGGATTGCCAAGAACTTTAGTAAGCTCTTTTCTAAAACGAATATCCAAAGCGGCATTGCTAGGCTCATATCAAATATGGTTAGGTAGAGGAGGTAACACAGCATACAGTGGAGGTGAGCGCTGACGCGTCGCAAGGAGTACTCCCTAAACCTATTTCTGGGTCACAATTCGTAGGCGCTGTCGAAGTCGCATGTGTTGTCCCCATCCTTTACCTGATGGACCCGGCACCCGCACGGTGAATCCATGGCACGCTAAGAAATAGGTCCAAGATATAACAAGTAGGTTTAATATATTCACTCAACCACCACAATAGATGTAATAAACATATAATTATCTATCGGCAAAAAGGATGGATGCGCAATATAACTAATTTCCGTGTCCCGATTAAAACTCGTTATACACGGGAGAGCTCGGAACGTGTCACCATTTCGGCAAAAAGTGGAAAAAGAAACGTGCATTAAAATTCGTAAAAATTGTATATCATTAAAAATGTGTATATTTTTTAAAAAGTATTATAACAGCAAATCTTCATTTTTTTAAACTTAGTAAAAGTATATTCGCCATGAAATCATCTACCGATAAAAAAGGAAAAACTAACTCAGTGATCAGGACTTTAATTTATTGAACAACAAAATGTTCACTTAGTCTTTATACTGGTTAATTTAAACCAATATTACACAAATAACAACAAGAAACACGCCTCAGTGGACTAATTAATTAATCAGTATCCATAAAAATGAATCATATATTTTAATCATACCCAGAATCAATTCCTGCAATTCAAATAAATGGTTAATGGATACAAAGTGGAAACTGAATAAATCTATTTCTAGATTAAATACAGGGAAAGTTGGTTAATATATTTTTAATGAGGTGGAATAATTACACAACAAATTAGTCGCCTTAGAAAAGCTCGAGATATGAAAGTAAATCTGGTTGGAAATGTTAAACAGTGGCACCTGAGCCCGTAGCCCAATGGCGGCCGCCTCGCTAATTTCCTAAAGCACAATATAAATTACCACCGGAAAACAATGACGGCCGGGTTGAACTCACCCCGCCTTTTGCACCGACCAAATTATAATGTACACGCTAAAAGGATTGTTAGCTTTGTATAAATTAGTACAAAACGACAACAACAAATCAAGCGAAGTGTTTCATCTACTTTATTACGAGGTGAAGCGCTAACCATGGCAGATGATAGTCTACGGGACCTTATCTAACCAAATTACTGGCAGCCTCTAAAAGGTCAGGTGTGTTTTCGCGAGGCGAGACCTCGTGGCGGCCATCGGAGTGGGAGTTCTCTCGCTCGATAGCCTGATTGCGGCTATCGTGCGGAGCGAGAGTGCGTGGAACTCTGCCGTCTCCTTCTGCGAGCAAGTTATGCTCGCGAAGGAGACGGCGGAGCGGGACCGGGAGAGGTTTAGAACTCTCCCGGCCCGCCAGGCCCGGGCACGGGCCAGGCAGCGCAGGCGACTCAGGCGCCGGAGGTCGCAGAACGACCTCCGTCCTCCATAAGCGCAGGCCTGGGGGTGACAGGTGAGGCCATCTGTCACCCTAGCAGAAGCAGGCCGGGGTGGCGGCGAGCGCGTTGCGAAGCGCGCTCGCTTCCAGGGAGCACAGGGAACATGGGGTTCCCACACGGGGCGGGGGTCGTCTACTCGTCTGTAGATGACCCGAGGTATGTCGGGGCACCAGGGCCTTCCTTTCTAGGGTATACCTGGTTCCCCGGCTATTAGTACCCGGCGAAGGCGTGCGGTTTTAGTCGGTTCGAGTCCGACATGCCACCGACAGGTGGTATCCGAGGGGATTTCCGCACGGAAAAAAAAAAAAAAAAAAAAAAAAAAAAGGTGTGTTTTCGCAACCGAGGCATAGCATGTAGGTGAAATTGAATTAATTACCTTAGAAGAACATCGGCTCTGTAAACAGATTTTATTTAATAAAGTTTTTTTATATAAATAGACAATATGTAGCACGAGCCTGGGTAATACTTGTACTGTTCGATTCGGATGCTTATATTTGTGTCGAGTCAGCTAGTTAATTATTTTCCACGGACAATGAATTGCCGAAGTGGATTCATTATCTTGAAATGAATCGACATTTTTTTTAATTTTGATTATAGCTAATGTTGAAAAATAAGCTGTATTTATAACAATAGCCGTTTTTGTACATTCGGGCTGAATGAAATGTCAATACTTTGAAAGGAATTTCAATAGATTTACAAAGATGCCCGATACACGGTAGAGACAAATTTTCCTGTAGAAGGAAATCTTCAAGTTATATGCACTTATAAAACGGATGTTCGCATTATAAGAATAAGTTTTCTATTCAGTTAACATTTTGGCAACAAACCTAGTCTACTTACAAAACATATTAAATATCTCGTTCGACATTAACAAATAGTTTCTCATAACATGGCGTAGTAGGAAACTATAAAATACTATGTATCAAGGCACGAACTTTATGGCCACAAAATGGAAACAACGTGCTTACTTATTCACATCACCTAGGCAGATGCAATTGGAAACGGGAATAGGTAAAGTACGCCGGTATAAAATACTATGTAACAACAACGCACAAATGGCTACATTACAGTCAGAAACTGTGTTTTTCATGTTCAGGATAAATCAACACCTCAGCACTCCAATATAGTATTAGTTTTAGTACAAATAAGCCAGTGCACACACAGCAAATATGAACGTAAATCTTTGTAAATGAATAAACGAACTTCAAATGAATATACCTATTGTATTGGAATAACGGATTGGTCTTGAAGGGGCCGCCTATTTAAATGCGTGACCCGTCATTAGGCAAGCGGCCGGAGTGGTCCGGGATCGTTCAAGTACCTACGCGCTCGATAGCCTCGTATAATCGACCTGTTAACGTTTCGTCTCGTACATACTTCCAACCCAACCCTGTTTGCCGCCATTTATTTTTATTGCTTACTAGGCGGAATTTGGGTCTAGACGAACGACACGAGGCATCAACTGACAGCGATCGATGGGACCAATCACATGGCTGCACTAACTCCTCGTTCTATCAAGCTTCATGCTTATGTTTGCCGTTGATAAACTTCTACACAGTGAGTTTATAAACGTGATATCAATATCGTAACCAATTTCTTTATTAACACGATCTGATAAAATAGTCAAGATCTGCCTTAAGCGAATTTAGTGCGAAACTTAATAAAGATGCGACGTCCTAAGCGAGTTGCCATGTCGGACGTCAAAGCCATTTTTTGTCGACGACCCGATAAGTTTGCTTCAGTGACTCGTTACGGCAGTAGAAATAGAGATTAAAATGGTCGTGACGTCAGACCCTCGTACTATTTTTAATAACATAGCACAAAAACATTTGAATTGGATATTAAGTTTGTATAGTCGATAATTTTCGATATACCTACATTATATACAAGCTTATAAAGGCCTCTAAAATTGATAGTCATATTAATACATATACCTCTGTATGAATTATATATTAATAATAATATTTGAAGCATAAACTTCGTACGCATCCATACCTCACAATATTAACCAAAGTTTCTTTATTGTTTTAGTTTATGGAAATTTGCTTGTTAATTATTGTTTATCTAGCGATGGGTAAGTAACTCTTGTATCCAAATTGTTTAATGTACTGCACATGTGGAGCCGATACGGTTACTTGTAACCCGCCACGTGTGCATGAAAATGTATCTCTTAACAATCTGGGATAAGATAGCGTTCCTAACGAAAGTAGGATTGTGCATTTAACATCATTTGCTTTACTCTTTCTTTTATGGAAGAGGGGGCAAACGAGTAGACGGGTCACCTGATGAAAAGTGACTACCGCCGCCCATGAACGCGTGCAACTAAGTAGTTACAAGCGCGTTGCCGCCCTTTCAGGAAGGAGTACGTTCTTTTTTTGGAGGTTTGAAAGGTTTGAAGGTTATTCTCGATTTTTAGTACTCTCTCTATACAACCTATCCTATCTATGCCTACACCCAATATTCTGAGCTCGCTCACCTATCTTAAAAATTCTAATATTCTCAAAAATTATACTCGAAAAATAAAAAGAACTGAACTATTTACACATGCGCACCAAATAAAGCGGATGTTATTTTATGATATTACTACTAATAGAGACGTAACTAAAAACGTATTTATAGCTTCTACGACGTAGCTGAATTCGTAGATACTAGTTACTTTGTTCGATGTGCGTGACAACGAAGCGTTCTCCCGGTTACTCTTTAGACAGTTGCTTGTTATTTATACAGGGTGGCGCAATAGAACGTGCATATTGCATCATCTTTTTTCGCGGGGTAGAAAGTGCGCGGGCGGGGGGAGCCTGCATCGTTGGGTAGGCGGGCTCATGGAGTTTTAGTCACTATGAGTCACTTCGACGGGAAGCGTCGCGCATTTTGCGTGCGCGCATTTTACGAGAACTCTCGTTCATA